GTACTACACTGTGGTACCACCTAGAAGCCAAATGAGGTTGTAGAGAACCCGACATGCGCCTGCGGACCTACTGATGTTCATAAGAGATGGCGGATAGTGTGTTTTCGGAGAAGCAACGACGAATTACATTTGTAGTAACCTTGTCCATTTCGGTGTCGTGATATCCACGGATCCCGATTGATCGCGCATATCACGTGCCGATGCTTTTTCAGAGCTGCCCAGGTGGCGACGGGGGCAAATACAACGCTGGCGCCAGATGATTCCCGCGATCGATGGATGCGACCTCCATATGATGTGAGTGTCGAAAACTTGATCTTAAAGGAATCTCAACTACAGGATCCATAGCCATGTAATCCGCAGTTGTGTGCTCTGTTCCGCGTACCCGGTAGCCTCTCCTCCCGTCCAATGAGGCATATACAGCCTGCATGCCCAGATATGCAAGGCCCGGCATGAGCCCGAGATGCTCGATATAGGGCGCCTTCGAGGAGTTGAACACTTTGTTTTCTAAATGAGCATGTAAAACGAGCCAACGCAATGGGCTCCATGCTCAATGAAGGTGGACGATCCAACTGCGATGCTTCGAAGACGTTGATAATATTGCATTAGCAGAATGGAGAAGCTTTTAGCCCTAAAGCTTAGGACTTCTATTTCGAAGTCGCAGTGGTCTAGTAGCCGAAAGAGGAATGACCCCTCTTGGCATGACGCGCGCCAAGAGCAATCACGCTCGCACCCGCCGTGTTCAACAACCTGCCAAGGACGGCATCGTGAATACAGGTTTCTTGGGGACCCTGCTTCTTAATACAAAATTGACCAGGTGTCCCGCCACAGCCACTCGAGCCACTCGACTCCACACCGTCGATCTCCCTCCAACCAGTCGTTTCTTTGACTCCCGGACCTCAACATGGCTGACGAGCAAACCGACGGTGCGGGGGGACATCACGGCATGAAGGGCAAGCTCGGACACCTGCGCGAGAAGCTCAAAGACACGCATCTCTATGATGCGAAGATCAAAGCGACCCACGCTAAGAATAAGGTTGGCAAATTCGCCAATCTGTTCAACGCGAATCATCGTCATGACGAGGAACACGAGCAAAAGACGGACGAGAAACGCAGCAGGGTCGCCGAAAATCACCGCTTCAACTCTTTCGCGCCTGAGCGAGATGGAAATCTGATCAAGTGGTACATTGATGGGAGAGACTACTTTTGGGTACATAGTCTCAATGCTGCCAATGGGACCTTTCTAATCAGAATGTCAGGCTGTATCTGTCGCATTGGAGCATGCCAAGGAAACCATCTACATAGCAGACTGGTGGCTTTCTCCTGAACTCGTACGGCGTCATTATGTATGATGCTGTTCCATACTAAAGCTATCAGTTTTTACGCCGACCTCCATTCTATAATCAAGAATGGCGCCTAGACCAGATTCTGAAGAGGAGAGCAGAAGCGGGAGTGAAGATTTATATCATCGTCTACAAGGAGGTGAGTGCCCCACCGCGAATAGCATTGTAAGGCCATTTCGCTGAACACACTCAGGTATCGGCAGCTCTCACCTGCAACAGCCAACACACGAAGAAGGTTATGATGAATCTTTGCCCAGAGGGAACCCCTGGGTATGGGAACATCTCTCTCATGAGACATCCAGATCATAATGTTCTCGAGAACGCCAGTGACATGACGTTCTACTGGGTAACAAATATTCACTCAATCCCATCAGATCGAAGTTACTAACATCAGACAGGCGCATCATGAGAAGTTTATAGTCATTGATTATGAGCTAGCTTTCATTGGAGGTCTAGATCTATGTTACGGCCGCTGGGACGAAAAGCAACATCCCTTGGCGGACGTTCATCCCTCTGGTGTGCAAAACGAAATCTTCCCGGGCCAGGACTTCAACAACAACCGCATCATGGATTTCCAAAACGTTGAAGACTGGAAGTCGAACCAGCTGAGCAAAGCAGAATACGGCCGGATGCCCTGGCACGACGTCGCCATGGGCGTCATTGGACCGTGCGTGTACGACATTGCGGAACATTTTGTGCTCAGGTGGAATTTTTGCAAGCGGGACAAGTACAAGCGCGACAAACGCTATGACTGGCTTACTCTCGAGGGACGCGAAGGCGACGACGAGGATCTTGTCGGCGTTCAGCGTCCAAAGTTTCCGGTCGGAGGTTACTCGCATCATCCTCTGCAACCTCTCAGTACTAAGAATCTGGACAACCGCGGAACGGTGCATGCACAGATCGTTCGAAGCAGCGCTGATTGGAGTAGTGGCATTCTGCCAACGGAGCATAGCATCCAGACTGCCTACTGTGATCTGATACGAGAGGCTCAACACTATGTCTACATTGAGAATCAATTCTTCATAACAGCAACGGGCGAGGAGCAGAGTCCTATACATAATCAGATAGGAGCAGCCATCGTCGAGGCCGTGGTTCGAGCTGGGCAGGAAGGGCGAAAATTTCGCGTCATCATCCTCATCCCAGCAATACCGGGCTTCGCTGGTGATCTCAGAGAAAACGCCGCCGCAGGAACACGAGCCATTATGGACTACCAATACAAGAGTATCTGCCGAGGGGAGCATAGCATATTCGAACGGGTCAAGGCGCAAGGTGTAAATCCAAACGAACACATCTTCCTGTTCCACCTCAGATCGTACGACCGCCTCAACGTCACAAAAAAGCTTAGGGAGCAAGAGGAAAAGTCTGGGATGAAGTACGAAGAACTGCAGCGTGCGGAGGTGGACGAAGTCGAGGCTCCAGCAGATGATGGCGGGGAAGCTCGCGAGAAGGCCGCTGATATGAGGCGAAGATTCGCTGGTGACGAACAGTCCGTCGGGCTAGGTGATCAGGGCGGAGTCATTGATCCGGATTCTATTGCCGATGACGCCATGCTCACAGATAAGAGGCCAAGCAAGGAGCATTGGGATGGCGATCCAGAGGATGAGAAGGATTTCTTCTTCCAGGAAGAATTGTACATCCACGCCAAGGTCTGCATCATCGACGATAGATATGTCATCTGCGGCAGCTCCAACATCAACGACCGCTCCCAGCTCGGCTACCACGACTCCGAACTGACAATCGTCATGAATGACAGGGACAAGGTCGAGACGCTCATGGACGGTGCTCCATACCAAGCCGGTCGGCATGCCTACACGCTCCGAAGCATGCTGTGGCGCGAGCACCTCGGCCTTTGCCCGCCGCAATCCCTCGACGCGAACGACGATCCCAACGCGCAGCCCCCGGGCGACTCTCCAAACGACAACATGGAAGGCCCCGAGATGGACTTTGTCAAGGACCCGCTCTCAGACGAGCTCTGGCAGGACTGGCGCACCAAGGCGGATACCAACACGTCTATCTTCCGCGACTTGTTCCACGCCGATCCGGATGATGGGATCCTGACATATGAAGACTACGACTCGTTTACGCCGAACCCGAAGAACGATAAAGAGCACAAGCAGGGCCATTTGTGGGTGAAAGATATGAGTGCGGCGGATGTGCGGAAGGAGTTGGATAAGATTAGGGGGCACTTGGTATGGATGCCGTTGAAGTTTTTGGAGAATGCCGAGTTGGCGGAGAGGGGGTTGCAGGTTAATGCTTGGACGGAGTCGGTGTATACGTAGACGAGCTTCGGAGCAAGTAATGATGCTATGAGAGGGAAAGGTTCGGATGCATGAATGGATGTTCGGTCTGAACGGAAGGGCATTATGAGAGTACGTCTGGGTTTCATTCTATGCTTGCGTGCTGCTCTGTCCTGGCTGGCTCTGCTTTAGCAGTCTTAGTCTTATGATGCGGGTCTGGTGGGACCATTGTCGATATTAGTATCTGAATCAAGTAAAATTTCATATTCGATCGTAAAAGATAGCTCGTTGTAAGACTATTGATAGTTGTCTGTGTGATTTCGATGTGAGTGTTCAGATAGCAGCCCAGCTAGAAATCATTCAAATGAGATCTATTTTGCAACCCATCATAGGACATGTTTCCTAGTCCACGCACACATCCTCCTTCTCAGCGGGTGAAGGCATGAGATTACAAATCTAGGCAGGCCCTTGCCGCAGCACACGGCGTACTTGTATATATGTAAGGTGGTCGCTCGGGGTTTGAGGAGAATTGAAGCCAGAACGAGGAGAGAACTTGGGTATGATATTATGCGCTGCTTAGCTAGGAGTGAACACAAGGATACTTATATCGCGATGTGTTCTGGAGAAGCGATACCGCACACTGACTGAGTGTGACGTGTACTCAAACGAGGGGGGTCGCGGTGCTGGCTGTTGGTGTGTAATCGCGCGCTTGACTGTTGGGGGTCGCGAGTAGGATAGTCGTGGTCATTGATGATCCTGCGGATCGACCTGGGTTATGTAGTTGTATGCTACTGTTCGCATTTTGTGCAACCGCAATGGAAGTCCACAGGGGTGACGAGTGATCTTTCGGTTCTTTGGAGATGATCTGTGAGAACCGAAACGATGATATTAGGGGGCTTTCAAAAGCTTCATCTGGCTACATCAGAAGCTGGATTGAGTATATGCGTCTTGCTTTCTAAGGCGACTTAGTGTTGAACTGGAAAATCGCGCGACATGCCTACTACCTACCTGTGTTGTGGTACGTATGAGGGAGGGCGTAAGAGACGGAAACGGGCAGACGAATGTGTACAATTTTTCGCAACTAGGGTTTGATTGTGGCAGTCGATTTCTCATCTCGAATAGGTACATCGAACGGGTCGAGACGGGGAAAGATCGAGCAGCCTTTGCCAGAGCGCCTCCCATCTCTCGACAGACATCAGCCATGCAACCACAACGCTCCATCAATCAACACCGTGCATGCTGTTCTTCTACCCCTTCTTCTTCTCCTCTTTCCAGCATAATATTCATCTTCCCTCCATTACTTTTCCTAGCCGAACCCTTCCCCGCAACGCCCACCCATCCATCTCCTACCTCCCCATCCTCCCCACCAAGACCTTCGCGGATGCAAAAAAGATAGTAGAAGAGCGCAAAAGAATCATTCTAATGACAAGAGGGGGATTCGAACCCCCGCGGGCGAAGCCCATGAGAATACTGCCTCGCTAACGGAGGTAAGCTTGCGCTTGAGTCACACGCCATAACCACTCGGCCATCTTGCCTGTTGAATTATAGATTCTTGACTAATAGAACATTTATATTGGTAATGTCAAGAGAGACGGAGAAAGGATGGTTCATGTGTTGGGATGCATGGGTATGGGCGGTCAGCATCGACGGTCGGTGTCATTGGGTTGGATGGCTGTTGGTGCGGGGCTGTGGGGCGGGCGCCGTCCGAGACCCCTAGTAGCGAGCTATTGGATCCATGCGTGCCATGGCAATCAAGGGGGTTTTGAGGACAACGGATGACAGGAGTGGGATTGAGATATGCTACCTACGTACAGTCTGTATGAGGTCATTGAATAAGTAACGAATCGGACTATACTATGCAAGTGGGAACGACAGCGAGTGCACAAAGCCTAATTCTAGCGGCATCGCAGTAGAAGAAGCGTATCGGCATCGATTGCTACGAATGCACTAAATATAGCACAGCTCTAATCCAGCAGCATGATTTCAGGACACATATGTACCCAAGGCAACAGTGCTGTTGTCGGTATTAGATATGGACATGCCGGTATAGTGTTCAAGCAAAGCAGGGGAAAACAAAAACCGCTCATCACGCTTTCCGAGTTGCTTTGCTTGGATGGGTTACTCGAGGTATGAGTATCTGTTCAGCATGTACTAATGCTGATAGCAATGTTAATGTCATGGGGAGGTGCGTACGTTCTCAGCCAGATGCACTCTATACAAGCCAAGACCACGACCATCTTCAAAAGGCTGGTAGCTCAGAAAGATGCATTGACTCTCCCAACCTCCTCCACATTTCTCTAATCTTCCCCTACTCTATCTCCGAACCCCCTCACTTCCTCCTCTTCTCCCCACCCCCCTGTCCACCCCCTCCATCCTCATCCCCACCCTTCCTCTTCCTCCCCTCCCTCCTCCAATACTCATCCCTCTCCCTCTTCTCCCTCTGCCTCCTCATCTCCTCATTCATCTCCTTCTTCCTCCGATACGGTTCCTTCCTCTTCTCCTGCGCCTCCCTCCTCTTCTCTTGCTTCTCATTGCGAATCGTCATAACCTGCTGCATGAGTCGTCTCGCCACCTTCTCCTCGCCCTTGACAACCACCGCGCGCTTCTGCAGGTACGTCGGGTGGCGCTGCGGCTTCATGTGCGCGATTTGCGATTTGAAGGGCAGGTCGGCGGCGAGTTTGCGCGGCACGCGGAGCGGGTTGAAGTGCCGGTCCTGCCGCTCGATTTTGCGGTATGCGGAGTTGGAGGATGAGGGTGTGGGCAGGTTTTGGTCGTGCCGGACTTGGCCGGTGAGGCGCATGCCTTTCCAGCCTGAGGGCGAGCTGTCGTCTCCGTCGGCGTCTTTGGAGGAGATGGAAGAAGGTTCGAGGAGGTTGGTGACGGGGTTGTAGAAGCGGTGGGGTTTAATAGGGTACCATGCCCTCAGGAATACGATGTCGCTCATCAAGACCTTGTCTTCAAAGGTAGCGCGGAAGTTGCCTTCTGGTTTGCTGAGTGCGCGCTTGATTTGGCCGCGCACGCCGGAGACGGTTTTGATGGAGGCGCCCTCGAATTTTGCGATTTCGAGAGAGGTCTGGAACATATCTTTGATGAAGGCGGTGTTTTTGAAGATCTTGTAGGGGTGGCCGGTCAACTTGAGCTTCTTCACGATTTCGGTCGAGGAGTCGACGTTGAGCACGACTCCTGTAGCTGCAATGCGGAAGCCCGGGTTGGTATTCGAAAACGTCTGCACGCAGCAGAAACCCGTATTCGGGGCCACAAGCGGCCCGTAGAAGGTGCCGAAGCAGTGCATATGCTCGGGCGTGTATTTCAGCATGCGATTGCGTGTCCGCGAGTCGGAGATGCTGTATAGAGGGAGGGTTTGGAATCGTCGCCAGCCGAGGGAGAAGATGAGCGGGTCGTTTGTTTTGAGAATCTTTTTGTGCCAGCGGTGCCGTTTTATGCGAACTTGAACAAATCCGAAGCGTTCTTCTGTCGGCGCGAGGCCGCCGATGAGGATGGGAAACCGGGGGTTGAAATTGGCGGAGAACTCATAGGGTACCTGTTCCAGCACTATCCTGGCATATGTGCCTGCCTTGTGCCCTTCGACCCGTACGCGCGAAGCTTCATCCAGTTGGTCGAATTCAGCGCGGTTAATGTCCAGTTGTTTCTGGATCATTGCCTTTTGCGCATCGTACCAGTCGTCCTCTCCAAACTCTTCTTCCTCACCAGCCTCTTTGCGAGCGTTTGCCTTGTCGTTCATGAAGCCTTCTCTATCTTCTTCCTCGAAGCGGAGCTTGAGTTCTTCTTTTCTACGAGCGTTCTTTTCTCGCTCTTCTTCGATGGTCTTAGCCTCGTTCTCCGCGTGGCCATTCGCTTGATTCGGGTGGTGTGACTCTCCTGTTTCGAGATCTTCAAACTCTCCATCGCCTTCGTCATCCTCGTCGATGCCTTCAAAGCTTTCTTCCTCTTCATCTCCGTCGCCCGATTTGCCGTTGAGATGACCAATTGCAAACCGGCTTTTGAATGCTTCGATATTTTCCTCATCCTCCCACTTCTCCTCCAGCGCAGCGTAATCGAAAATGGGTATATAGCGATCTTCAGCATCCTCAGGGTTGTCAGACTTCCTCTTCTTAAAGAAATCATCATCTACTTCATCCTCAATCTCAACGTCTTCTTCATCATCTTCCAATTCGCCCCGCCACTTCTTGACTACCTCTGCTGGAGACAATGTCAAGTTGTACATCATCTTCGCCAGGTCTGTGGTGCGGTAAGGCCTGTTCCGTCCATGCATCCGCTTCGCGTTTTCCCGGAGGTTTGACTTCCATCGTAATGTGCCTTCTTCATCGTCTTCGTCTTCGTCGTCATCCTCTGACGGTCCCTCTTCAAGGTCATCCAGATCTTCTTCATCTCCAGATATAGACCCCAGGTCTGAGTCGCTGTCAGCAAAGGCCATCTCTTCATTAGTCTCAACATCTCTCCGCCGAGCAAACGACGGTTTGCCATCCGATGTGCCGTTGGCTTCCAAGTGTCCCTCATCGTCCTCATCCTCTCCATCGAGCATATCCGCCTCGTCAAAGGCTTCCTCATCAGAAGCAATGCCTTCAAGATCAGCGTCATCGACATCCTCACCTGCAGCGATTCTTGCTCTTCGCTGAGACTTGCGACCCGCATCATCCTCTTCATCCGCAATCGTCCCATCCACAACCTCTCCCCCACTGAACAGCCTCATCGGCGCATCCGCTTCACCCAGTAGCTTCCTACCACCCTGCAGGCTAACCATCATCTGCTCGCCCAGTCCGCGCTCCTCATCACTATCATCCTGATTGAAAGTCGACGTCTTCACATCAATGTACACAGCATCTTTATCGACCAAAACACCACCCACATCTGACATGGGCGCAAACAGAATCTTCTGCTTCTCGCCCAACCTCCTCCTCTTCGACTTGCCAGTGACCTTGGCAAGCGCTTGCTCCGCATACGGCGTCGGACACGGATCCGGGAGTGCTTCCGTCGCAGACACGCTCAGGTCGCCCACACCAGGTATATGCACTCTCGAGCCCTGCGCCGGAAAGTTGGTGCCCCTCAAATATCCATACAGCGCAACCGTGCGATCGCATTTCGGGTTCTGCTCGATATCCGTTGGCGGTGTGATGTCCAGAAACCGATCTGCCAGACAGTACGGATGCGCGTTTCTCCAGACCAGCGGCCTCGGGTTCTTCATGACAGACAAGAAGCGTGACAGGTTCATGACCTCTCTATCGGGGTATCTTCCATTCACGACGCCTGAGAGGTAAAAGAGCTTGGCGCCTTGATATAGTTCGCTCCAAAACCGGTGTTTTAGCCTCTTCTTCTGTAATTTGAGAGTCTCCTGCTTCTTGAACAGATCCAGATGCGTCAGGATACCAAAGACGTTGCCCGGCATACCGCTCGCAGAAAGCACGTTCAGAAACTCCATAGTCTCCATTTCAAAGCCGTAGTTGCCATCAATCATGAGTAGCACGATATCCACCACTTTCGCAATATCAATCATGCTCGCCAGAGACTCGGCCGGGCATTCTATAAACGTCAGACGCCGCCGCTTCGAGGTGACGACTGTGAGGGGCCCGGTCGGCGAGGAGAGGGTTTGTTTGGTGTAGCGTCGGATGAGCGACTTTATGAGTGTGGTTTTGCCTACGCCGGGAGGGCCGACGACGCCCACGATGATGGGGGGTGCTTCTTCGGGGAGGCGGTCGACGAGCGGGACGTGGAGGCGCTTTTCTTTGACCTGAAATTGTTAGACAACGCTTGATATCGTAAGAATGAGAGCGCATACATCGTGAGAGCGCGCTGCCTGCTTCTGGAGTCTCCCGGGCGTCGCATATGCAAAAGCTTTTGGATTCGGACCTGCATCAATCAGCTGTATTCTGTACGAAACTCGAGGGCATGCGCGTACCGCCCGAATGCGCCTTCTTCTCCTTCCCCTTGCGATGCGGACGATTCGCCTGATCCGCCATAATCTTCCCTTTTTCGCGTTGCGCTCGTGACCACACCTACAAGAAACTTCCTTTCTCGCAAACGTCCAGATTCTCAAAATTTCCTGGCCAAGATTTCCATGCAGGGATGTCTTATCGATAAGCCCTCTAGCGCGGCGCGGCGAAGTGGGATGGTGGGCTGCGCGAGGGTTCCGAGGGAAAGCGAAGGGTCGGGTGGGTCAAGTGGTGTGGGTGTGATGGGTGAGGGCAGATTGATCGAGGCGCACGTCATCGTCAGAAGCATGTGCGCCAGTCGCGCAAGAACCAAGGCCTGTCTCGTAGCAACCTGCCGACGTAGGGGTAGTGCGTAGGCTATATAAACATCACCAACGTACAGCCCACTTCACTCAACGACTGCAACCCCATCTCACTTGACTACTACAACTACAACTGCAGCACTCATACCTTTCACGACTCACAGAAGAAGTCAAACTCAACCACCTCACCATGCCTTCCCAATACAACGTAATCGCTCCCTAATACCTAGTACAAGATAAGCGCCCATCTAACAAGCACATCTAGATCACGCTGAAGGATGCCTC